GTCTGTCCTATACACCTGGGATTGATATAGTGTAAGTGTTAGTCTGTCCTATACACCTGGGATTGATATAGTGTAAGGGTAGGTCTGTCCCATACACTGGGGATTGATATAGTGTAAGTGTTAGTCTGTCCTATACACCCAGGATTGATATAGTGTAAGGGTAGGTCTGTCCCATACACCCGGGATTGATATAGTGTAAGTGTTAGTCTGTCCTATACACCCGGGATTGATATAGTGTAAGTGTTAGTCTGTCCTATACACCCGGGATTGATATAATGTAAGTGTTAGTCTGTCCCATACACCCGGGATTGATATAGTGTAAGTGTTAGTCTGTCCCATACACTGGGGATTGATATAGTGTAAGGGTAGGTCTGTCCTATACACCCGGGATTGATATAGTGTGCGTGTTAGTCTGTCCCATACACTGGGAATTGATATACAATGTAGTAAGTATAATTTTGTCCCATACACTGGGGATTGATATAGTAAGTATAATTTTGTCCCATACACTGGGGATTTATATAGTAAGTATAATTTTGTCCCATACACTTGGGATTTATGTTGCCATATTTTCTACTAAGTAGATTCTTAAGTGACAGTAAAAAAGTCAAACTTCCATAAATCAAACTTCGAAGATTCTATTTCTTGACAAAGTCCGAAATTTTCCTCTTAACCCTTTCACCCTTATGTAACTTTAGTAGGCTCTACCATGCTTTGATCTGGGTGAGTCCATTATGGTCTACAGTGGTGAAAGGGTTAAATAACACTGCTGATATTCCGTTTTTGAGCTGAATTTTTCGCTGTTTCAAAGTATGACTAATGTCTGTTCATTAGAAAATTGCTGAAAATTACAACTTGTTGTCAAATTGGCAAAAATTATTACCTGTACATTAACACAGAAACAGATTTACTAAAGATAATTGATAAACAAAAAAATGTCGAATTTGATAAGATCACCATGCAAACTACAGTGTAGAAATAGATATGCTATTCTTATTACTGAAAGTCCAATATTTATAGGTTTTAAATTAGATTTCTTAGCCTGTAATTCATCATTTAGGAATCACGTCCGGTCTTGTGTATCAGATTTCAATGATGTTTGATGTTTCACATTTGTGAGTCGTGGTCCCAATGTTTCACATTTGTGAGTCGTGGTCCCAATGTTTCACATTTGTGAGTCGTGGTCCCAATGTTTCACATTTGTGAGTCGTGGTCCCAATGTTTCACATTTGTGAGTCGTGGTCCCAATGTTTCACATTTGTGAGTCGTGGTCCCAATGTTTCACATTTGTGAGTCGTGGTCCCAATGTTTCACATTTGTGAGTCGTGGTCCAAATGTTTCAAATTTTTCCCAGCAGTTCCACAAAGTTAGAAATATGAAAGTCTGACTGTTTATTTAATAAAGTTGTCAATCACCTTTAAGATACAATTAATCTTGTATGATTTGTAACTTCAACATGATATGACTTTTCTTTGATTGAACAGCTGAGCTTCAATGGTGATGGAAAAAGAGTTATGACTGCTTCAGCAGACAAGACCTGTAAGATTTGGGACGTGGAGACAAGAACTTGTGTGACGTATGTTTAGACACATTATTGTCTATCCGAAAACAACATCCCACTGTCTAATTTCTGAAGTCAAAGTATCTAGAAAAGCCTCAGTAGATGTCAATCTTGTCATTACACTATTGTTTCTCCATGGTCAAGGAGCTGTCAAACTCCATTTTTAGGTCACCTGAGCTTTAGCTCAAGTGACCTATTGCTATCCGTTTTCGTCCGTCGTCGTCGTCCGTCGTCCGTCGTCCGTCGTCCGTTAACATTTTACATTTCAAACTTAAAGTCAAGTTCTGCTGGGCCGATTGAACTGAAAGTTGGTAGGAATGATCGCCTCATGGTCCTGACAAAGTGTTGTTATTTTTCGGGTCGATCAGAAATCCAATATGGCCGCCACGGCCGCCATTTTGAAAACCTATTTCAAACTTAAAGTCAAGTTCTGCTGGACCGATTGAACTGAAAGTTGGTAGGAATGATCGCCTCATGGTCCTGACAAAGTGTTGTTATTTTTCGGGTCGATCAGAAATCCAATATGGCCGCCACGGCCGCCATTTTGAAAACCTATTTCAAACTTAAAGTCAAGTTCTGCTGGACCGATTGAACTGAAAGTTGGTAGGAATGATCGCCTCATGGTCCTGACAAAGTGTTGTTATTTTT